TTATTATATATATATATATATATATATATATATATATGCTGAGCTATTACACTGAAATATTGCTATCCTTTTTAGAGGTCAGTACCTTTTCACAGTGCTTTCTGCTAGGGCGTCTAAGTATTGTATGAAACATAAAATGTATTTATTTCGAAATCTGTAATAAGTTAAGAGAGTTATTTAATTTTATTGGATAAATACTGTATATCATACAGTAAATAATAATAATAATAATAAATATAATTTACAACCTTTCATGAACACTTTATTGCTTTACTATGTAAACTAAAATATACCTTTAAATATACACCCTAAGTGATTTATCTATAGAAAAATAGTTTTTATATCCACAATCAGACACCTCCTTTATATATGCATTGGCATGGTGTGATATAAATATTTTTTATCAATGTGACAATGAAATGTCAAAATTAGCCACTAATGTCACCAGCTACCAGCGACTAGTTATTGTGGGTCATTCAAAATATAATGTATATATATAAAAGTATATAAAACCTTTATGCCACTCTTTTAAAAAAGTTTTAGAGATTTTAAAAGGGTGTTACTGGGACTCTTTTCCTGTGCTTTTACCTGCAAACGCCAGAATCCCTTACCATGAATACTTCTGAATAGAGTTCAGCGGGGGCGACAACCGGTAGAACCAATTCAAATGTAAAATCTCTTCAAATACCATGGACTAGCTTTCTATACATAAAAATGTCATGATTTTTAAAGTCCAATATCTTTGGACCTTCCATGGCTAAAATCAAGTATTATTTGCCCGGTTGATACGTTGGTATTCTCTTCTTCCCGACTCTATCAAACTCCTATTTCTAACCATGCAGAGTTGGGGACCTGAAACTTGTCACTTGAATTTTGGGCCAGTGAAATTTTGGAGGGGGAATTCCATATGGTAGGAGGAAGGGAAGAACGAACGATTGTAGTGGCAAGATCTTTATTTTTAAATCGCAGCTGAAGCTGCTCAGAGGTTTGGAATGCTAGAAGAAGTCTTAGAAAAGAAGGATTCATGGGCAGAGTACATGCAAGATAGTCAAAGATGCATGTGGAATTCCAATTTATCACATGACTCTGCAATCTTTTATAGGGGGTGTGTTTAAAGTGTGTGGGAGTATCTATAGGTATACTTTAAAACTGTGATAATTCTGTGTACAGAAAAGCTGGGATTCTCCCTTTATATGGTGGGTATAATTTAATACCATGCCCCCTACAAACAGTAGTGTGATTCATGGAATAGATTGCAGAATCATATGATAAATTGCACGTCTCATACATCTTTGACATATCTATATGTCACGTGGGTAAATGGATATCAGAATATATGTCATTTCCTATATATTTGTACTGTGCCTATCCCAATGGGACCTTGAGGTGTTACCACAACGTAAATATTAAAGTATCTAACTATCCATGTGATACACCGCAGAGTCATATGATAAGTGCATTTATCATGCACCTTTTACTATCTCACCTGTGCTTTCCCCTCTAATCCCCAGGATTTATTTTAACATTCCAAACCCTAAGCAACTTCAAACAACTGCATTAAAAATAAATTCTGGCTGAGAAATGTTTTCTTCTTCTCTCCACAAAAATAAAATAAAATAATAATAAATATTAAACCTGAGGCCCAGACTGGGCATTGTTAAATCCTGAACCTGTAACAGCTTTACTGAACATGAAAAATCTCAGTCCTTTAAAGTCTGATATCACATAGCTCTGGGGTTAGAAATGGGATTTTTATGCCTCTGGAAAAGAGAGTCCTATCTTCTCCAATGGGACACCCAGCTCTTACTTTCAGCCTTAGAAGACCCAGAAAGAATGGACTTTAAAATTGTGCCATTATTGTGGACAGAAAATCGCAATAACTTTGGTTTAGGTGTGTTTTTCTAAAGAGGTTTTTATGACTCCCTCTGAACCGTTTACAGTTTGACTCAGGGTAACTAAAGCACCTGTGTTTTTTACAGACGAAGGGATAAAAACATATTTCCAATAAAAAAATTTTAGAACCCCCTAAAACTATGTATATACACATGATAAAGAATACATGGTGATGTTATGTGGTTTAACACTTTATCTTCAGTAGCTTGGAATGACCTGGCTTGTTCACAGGGGAAAACAATAAGTAAGTTATCCATGTCATCCAACATGCTAGTTGATAAAATATTTATACCATACTTCACCAGCATGTATTCTGCATATGCCACATACCATACAGAAAGACAATTTTAGGAATGTGTTAAGGGACCTCTACATTTTTATATTGGGATTGTTTTATGCTTCTCCCTATAAAAGCATGTGTTTTGATTACCTTGAGTCCAAATGTCCAGGCTGAGCGGGAGCTATTAAAAAAAAAATCTTAAAAAAAAAAAAACATCGAAAGCTATTGTACAACACTCTAGGAAATTTAAAGTGTGTGTGTGTGTGTGTGATATCTATATCAACATCAGAGATAATGGACTTTAAAACTGTTGTGTGTGTGTGTGTGTGTACACACTATCTATATATACACTATATATAGTGTATATATAATACATACTATATATAGTATTTATATGTGTACACACATACATAGAGTGTATATATAATACATTATATGTAATATAGTGAGAGTTTATATATATATATACACTATATATAGCATATATATGTGTGTGTACACACATACATAGAGTGTATATATCATACATTATATGTAATATAGTGAGAGTTTATAGCTATACACATTATATATA